ATGCATTATATAAGCATTATTTATTTCACCTTAAGTTTAGGTCAACAGTCGCACGTCACTTTTAATCTCTGACACTTGTTACTTTTTGATTTTACAAGGGAAAGAGTGACGAAGAGACTTTGCCCAGATGCCCCGGCTGCTCTGATCTCATTTGGCAGCAGTGTGAATTACCAGATTCTTGTTAGTCAACTGCTCTGAATAATTAAGGCTACAAGTGGAGAGTATTCTGAGCCTGCCCAGAACGTGCTTTACCCTTGCAGTGACGTCACTGATCTCCCACGCGTTTGACCTCATGGGGGTTCCTCCGCGCAAGTGCCGCTCGACGCCAGATCGGATTCATTACGAAGGCAGGATAGTGTGTAGTGAAAAAGAGACTTCTGAGAAACCGGCATGTGTTGCTGGGCGAGGATTGATGATGCCGCGCTGGGAAACACTCTGCTCTTTACAAAACGTAGAATAGGATTAGATGAGCTCCACTCCGTTCTGACCTGAAAGGCCTTCCAGGCACAAAGTTTTCTCCAGGACATATTGCTGTTATATGGAAAGTGACCAAACTTTTGTTATTTTGTGTTGTGTTGTGTTGTGTTGTGTTGCTCATTAAGATATTTTCAAATATTGAAAATCATATTCCATCAATAATAACAATTATGTGAATTTCAAATTTCATTACGTTTAACTTTGAGTAGATGATATCTCACTGGTTGCTATATTTTAACTTATAAATTGGAAACTGGTCATTTATTTAAGATATCCACTTTATTCTTCCTGTAAAAATGGGCGTGGCCATTTGTAGATTTTATGGGTCTTGCTTCCTGTCTCATTCACTTCCAGCTATTTTTAGCTGTACAAAATCACTGGTTTTGCTGCTTAAAATTGCAAATTGGCGTCTCTTACCCTATTATTTTAATGTATTATCGTAATTACAAACACACTAGTTTGTAGTGCAAACAGTTTTACCGTTTACTGCATGTTGTAGTTCTTCTCATTATTTTCCTATAGTGGCAAATGAACCGGAAGTCTCGCCCATAGGCTTACTTCCGCATGGAAGAATACGGTGGATATTTCAATGGTTTGCTCGTTTTGGCTTTATCTAATCAAAATGTTTCAAATAGAACGTTTTCTTTGGAATATAATTTGAATTGTTATCAGTTTATAGCTTTTTCCTTTCCTTCTCGTGTAGAATTAGATGCTTCCTGTTAAAACTCCTTAACCAAAACTCTTAATGACATCATTCACCATGAAGTGACATAATTTTGGAGGGAAAACAACAGCACAATCATCAGTTTGCTCTTGTTTATGTTTAGTGGCAATAGTTGCTTAGCTTCACTCTAAAAAGTTCTTACGAATGTAGTTGACACCTCATGTATGTTAACTGGCTAACTTTAACATTTTTATTTCTGTACTGTTATTTTTGGCACCCAATGAATGATTCACTTATAATTGACTCTGAATAGGAGAAATTATTTCACATAGAAAAAATTACATCACTTTTAATGACCTGACATGACTAGAATGAATGAACTCAGAAGGGACTGGAAGTTCTATTCTGTAATGACTTTAATTCTGGTGTTCTCCCAAAACTAACTGAGCAGCAGGTACTATAGTTACTGAGGCTACTGGTCCAAGAAAACCAGAGTACAAATGACACATTCAAGCTCTTCTGTTTATTTCTCTGTCTACACGAACTACAGTCATTAACAAAATCGCATTAAGTCAATTTGACACATCAAAACGTTCAGTCAAATGTTTGGACACACATTTGTACACTCCACAGTGATTGAACACAAAGCATTAATGTCCAGGAGTTCTGAATGAAAACCTTGAGAAGAACCTTCCTCTCGAAACCCTGAGCTGAGTGCAAATGATTTAGAAATCAGGAAACTGTTTGATTTCTTCGCCAGCTCAGTTATAACACTAGTGTCACCGGTGTCAGAAATCATCAGTGTTTTAAACACAAAATGATAGAAAAAAGGTATATAATAGATAAGATGAATGTGGCCTGAACGATGCATTTACACTTGGGCCGAGTCTTAAACATCAGTGTGAGGTGGTCTGAGTAATCAGCGATATTTTTTTATGATCGGATAGCAATCTGATTACTAATATCGCATAAAGTGACCAAATATAAATACAACAGACATGTTTATTTCTTTCTAATTCGGTTTCTGCAGAGCTCATGCAAAAGCGTGGGTTAGTGAAGAAAAGAGAAGTTAAATTGAACTTGATTGTAAACATTACGCTCTGTAACTGATGATGACTGGTGAAGATTTTAATGAGGCATATACAGACTGTTTGAACATTTGACCCTTTGAAAATAAACCTCCATACAAAGGTTACCTCGTGGGACATAAACGTGCATGCATGAACACCTCCGCACATTGTTGCCTCGTGTGTTCAGCATGTTATTTCTTCAAACAAACATAATCAATGGCCAGCCGTGTCAATAGCAGCTGATAGCTGACAGCACATGGTGTTTATTTCATAGAGAGAGTGAACATGCCTTACACAAGAGTTCAGCAGCAAACACATTTGCACACTTATTTTGATTTGTGAACGTGCCAGCTGTAATCTCAACATCTTTTTGTTTACTAGGATGCGGGTGTTTCTCAGTGGCGTGATTCAGAGACATGGCCTGTCACAGTAAATGAGCCGCAGCTCTCGTCTGGACGCTTCAGACTTCTGGCCCGGTCACTTCTGAGTCACTTATTAAAAATTGCAGCTCACTTTCAGATGTGCTTTTACCTCTGTTTCTGAGTGGGCTAGTGATTGGGAAATATATTTTTGGAAATATAACAAATTAAGACCTAAAGTGATCTTAAATCATAGCAGAAAGTGTGAAGTTCATGAAGATGCATTTACTTGAGATGCACATTTAACATATGAAGTCTTCATAAAAGCCAATCAAATTTTAGTGTGGCCCACAATGGTTAATTCAGCTGTTCGGTTCAGCCATCCATATCTTCTGAACTCTTAAGTCAAAACTTGGCACACATGGATGTCCTGAGGACTCCTGACAAATTGTTTGTGATGGGGGCACTGTAATATAAGAAAAAGAACTGCAACTGTGTCATTGTGGTAAGTTTCTCTACTTTTCCTGATGATTTTTCCTCATGCCAAGCGAATAAACTGAAGCACAGAATCAAACTCTTCCATTTCAAGTAATCTGACAATGTAGAAGATTGTGTTTGGCTATTATCACCATAACATGAAAACCACATTTTTGTAAGTAAGAAAGTTGAATCCAGATATGAATATGGGTCAGTGGTCAGTGGTAAGTTATAGGTTATGTATTATTGCATCACCTCTTCTGCTGTAGGTCTACCGGTCTTGCTCATAGGGTTTAGCCTGTGTTAACCTAAATGGGATCAAACAGATTTAAAGGGCTGGGTGAGTGCAGTGACACAGGGCTTTGTGTCCGCTGATGAATCCTGATCGACAGCTGCCCCACTCTGACACGAGCTGAAGACTCACCTCTGCCTGGCCCTCAGTCATTTCAGGTTATGAAGTTTGGACGTGGCACTTGGTGGCGTTTTTAAAAAAGAATGCTCAGTAAACATTACAGTGATGTCCTGAGACACACTTTACAAAATAATGGTTCTTTATTAGCAGTGATGCTTCTATGAAGAACCTTTAACATTCATGGAACCCTTCCATTCCACAAAAGGTTCTTTATATGATTCAAATGTTCTTCACACTGAGACAAATGGTTCTTTTAAGGAACTGTTCACTGAAAGGTTTTTTTTGGGGAAACCAAACACGATTCTTCTATGGCATCGCTGCAAAAACGTCCTTTTGGAAGCTTTATTTTTAGGAGTGTAGATCAAAGTGAAACTGACTTTCAAAAGTCTAAGTGTGCTAACTAATGGAAGTGCAGGTGTTTACAGATGTGTAACAAACCAGATGGAGTCATTTGTTGTTCAAGACGCTTTTCTATCACGTCCCTAGAGGGCAATAAAAGACCAAACTTCCTGACACTCACCCTTCATTTACTTTGTGTTATATTGACATGCATTATGTTTCTTCTCACAAGCAGATGTGCTAGAATGGCATTTTTTTTGCATTTTCAGCTGCATTACTGCTTTTATTACACTTTTAAACAATGCACTTCTCTATGGTGTGATTTAATTAATATGACTATTGCACATTACTGTTTGTGATTTTATTTTCAAAACAAAATCTATCTATCTATCTATCTATCTATCTATCTATCTTATCTATCTATCTAATCTCTCTGTCCATCCATCCATCTCTCTGTCTCTCTGTCTGTCATCTCATCTATCACCTTGTAAAAAATCTTTTGTTGAATGTGCATTTGTAATTTATTTCTAATCTTAAAAGTGTTTAAAAAAAACTGTACTTGCAGATAATGTAATATTAATGAAAAAGCCACTTAAAGAGAGACAAATTCATGTTTCTTAACACACCGAAGTGCACTTTTAAAAGTACACTATAATAATGTCAAATTAAAAGTTCTACTCTAAAGTACACTTTAAATCATTGTTTTAATATGTTTTTTAATGAGTTTGTCGTGCTTTAAAGAAGTGCACTTATTTTGATGTGTTGACTAACTTACTAAAGCACATGTAAAGTACTTGATTATAAATTCAACTGTGAGTTTTTCGTTATTACATTTAATGTAAATATATTTTAGATATATTGCAACTTTATTATAAATGTGTGTAACACTTTATTTTAAGGTGTCCTTGTTACACGTTACATGTAGCCTACTTACTATTTTAATAACAATAAATAAAGCATAAATGCATGCAAGTAACTCTAAGCCAAAGCCTAATCCTAACCCATAGTAAGTACATGTAGTTAATTAATATTACTCCGTACTTAAATGTATAATTACACTGTAACAAGGACACCGTAAAGTGTAAGGTATCTGTGTGTATCTGTGTGCTATGACTAAATGTGAGTTTGCGCGCACAAATGTGGAGAGATGAGTCGTGTTTTCATTGGGTTGCTGTTGTGTGTGTGTGTGGTGAAGTGATAGGCGTGACCTGAGGCGCACAGAAAGCTCCAGCACTGCCAGACTGCTGTCATACTCCACTCTCCACTCTCCAGCACTGCGTGCGCGGATGACTCTCTCCACAGCAGCACACAGAAGAAGCACAGACCTCCGCAGCGTCAAGCGCACTATGCGTCTCCTCAGCTCTCCTCCTCACATCTCCAGGCAGTAGATCGCTCCTCGACTCCTCCAGCAGACGCGACCATGGCTGAAGAGGACAGCGCGAACTTCAGCGTGTTGAGCTGGGAGCAGGTCCAGCGGCTGGACCTCATCCTGACCGAGAGCATCCCGATCCACGGCCGAGGAAACTTCCCGACGCTGCAGATGAAGCCGCGGCAGATCGTGACGGCGGTGCGGAGCCGCATGCGGGAGCAGCGCATCCATGTGCGGGACGTGCGTCTCAACGGGTCCGCCGCCAGCCACGTCCTGCACGGGGACAGCGGGCTCGGCTATAAGGACCTGGACCTCATATTCTGCGTGGACCTGAAGGGAGAGACGGAGTTTCAGATCGTCAAGAACATAGTGCTGGACTGTCTGCTGGACTTCTTACCTGATGGGGTCAATAAAAAGAAAATCACTCCGCTGACCCTGAAGGTGAGTGCTAAGATTCATGAGGGTAGTGGACTTTACAGGTTCAGATTTACTTATTTGTAAAAGGGAAAGTTAATATTTTAGGTGTTTTACCTGGAAGCCATTTCTTTGATCACATTTACAGTTCAAATATCCAAAATCTCATAAGAACTCAATGCACAATGTTTTTTTTTGTGTGTACAGAATCTGGCTATGTTCTTCTTGTACAGTTATAAATAAAGAATCATTGCAACACTAGCATGCGTTGTAAATAATAATAGTCCGATTCATTTTATATTTATGCAAAGTTGTTTTGCTATCTTAATAGTTAAAATAATTTGCATCATTTGGGCTGTTTCTAATTGTACAATATAATATTTCACGCTCATTTCACAACTAATGGTTTGTATTCCTGCAAACAGTACAGTAAACTGACTTTACTTTAGCTTTGAGGGGCCGCCGTTTATTATTTATCAGTAGACCTTTGAATAACCTCAAACCGAATCTCTAACAATAATTTATAAGAAAGTGGCGTTTAAGATACTTGGCAAATATGAAGTAGAGCATGTCACACTGAAGGACACTACTTGACTTCACATGGCATGTGTTTATTTGTGATTTTCCATGCAGTACATTATTTAAGATCATCTGCATGGATCCCTGTAGTCTCCAGTGACTTTCAGTAGAAATGCAATTAGAGTAGTTTACTGATAAGCTGGTCAAATGTTGGTTTTCTGTCAGTAAGAGGACTGCGCTAAAGCAGGTTAAAGCCGATCGAGTGTTCTCAGCCTCTTAGATCTCCTGCGACAGGTAATGATGGAGAACTGATATGGCGAACGGATGTGCGTTTGAATGTATCTTAATGCATGAAACACTGAAACAATTCCTTGTGTTATTTTGCAGGAAGCATATGTGCAAAAGATGGTGAAAGTGTGCAATGATTCGGACCGCTGGAGTCTCATCTCTCTTTCCAACAACCGGGGCAAAAACGTGGAGCTCAAGTTCGTGGACTCCTTGCGCCGGCAGTTCGAGTTTAGCGTCGATTCTTTCCAGATTAAGCTCGACTCTCTGCTGCTTTTCTACGAGTGCTCGGAGAACCCCATGGCCAAAACGTTTCACCCCACCATCATCGGCGAGAGCGTGTACGGAGACTTTGCCACGGCGCTGGACCACTTGCGCAACAAGGTGATCTGCACGAGGAACCCTGAGGAGATCCGAGGAGGCGGCCTCCTGAAATACTGCCATCTTCTGGTCAGGGGTTTCCGAGCCGCCTCCGAGTCGGAGATGAAGTTTTTCCAGCGCTACATGTGCTCCCGCTTCTTCATCGACTTCTCGGACATCAGCGAACAACAGCGCAAGCTGGAGTCTTACCTTCAGAACCACTTTGTGGGCTTGGAGGACCGCAAGTACGATTATCTGACGACGCTTCACGGGGTAGTGAACGAGAGCACGGTGTGTCTGATGGGACACGAGCGGCGGCAGATCTTAGGGCTGATCGCCATGCTAGCGGTGCGTGTGTTGGCCGAGCAGAACGTCATACCCAACGTGGCCAACGTCACTTGCTATTACCAGCCCGCCCCTTATGTATCAGACGGTAACTTTAGCAATTATTACATTGCCCAAGTCCAGCCAGTCTTTACCTGCCATCAGCAAACCTACTCCACGTGGCTGCCGTGCAACTGAACGCCAAACAGATGAGCTGAATCATTGCATTGTTAAATCTGTTTCGCAATTGACCCTGAGTGTTACCGTCCACTTCCCCAATGTGCATTGATGCTTGAGTGAAATTAATGGGGCTTGTCTGTTATCTCAAATGAGTTTGGAAGGCAACTTCTGCTCTGCCTTGCCTAATTCTCGGTCGATCTTGAGGTTTTACACTTGCTAACAGTTCTCATGTGTGTTTCTGACTGGTTGACACATTGAATCCCAGTCGTTAGATGCATGAGAAGGGAAGTGTGAGGTTTTGGAAAGCTGCGGTTGCACCCTTTAGTCCAAATGGAAACTGATGTATTGCTAAGAACCTTTTACAAAGATTCTCTGAATGAGGGGAAGCAGTCAAAAACCAACAATTACAGTTTGTACAAACCAAAGATGTTAAGATTGTATTTTTATACTACCCAGACTATCAGCAGATGTGATAGTGCTGTCTATATTTGTACATGTGAATGCATTCAAAGTGCCTAACACCAATGCAGTATGCTGAGATGAGCAAAGCAACCTCAAAATCGCGAAACACGACAAAGAGACTAAAAGCTTGTGAATGTACATGATGTGTCCTGATTTACAAAACAAGCGTAAGTGTCATATTTGTTTGCAGTTCAGTCTCTGTCTATTAATTGAACTCTTCATAGTTTCTGGGCAGCATCCACAGCTTTGAGAAGCCATCTTTAAGTTCAGTCGACATTTGAGCCGGCTTTACAGCAAACCGTATGATCCAGGTGAGAGTTGAAAGCACATGCGGTCCGAAAACAAAGAAAACGCTTGTTTTGCGGGCGAGAGCAAAGTTTGTTTCCGGACTTTCTAGATGAAAGGTGTTTGCAGAAGCACCTCTGATAGTGGGACGCTGTTTGCTGTAACATCCGAGCAGGGAATTCGACAGCTCCTGCTGAAGTAAAACCCGCTGTGTTCCTACTCTCCCGTCACAGCTGCTCCGCCGGCTGATCCTGACCCTGCGTTCCCCCGCTGTTAACAGAGTGTTAACTTGTTCTTGATTAATAGTGCTGCGGAAGGAAGCAGGAGGGGCCGTGGCATATATGTTTAGACTTGACAAAGAATCTTGAGAGGAGAGGGAAGAGGAAAGCGAGACGCAGACGAGAGCGAGGGAGGGAGGGAGGGCTGGAGAGATGGGTGCAGCTGGTGAAGGGGTTTATCTCCTTCGACAAATGTCTTTTAATCAACACAGCTTCTTTCATTACTATGGTCAATTTGGCTTAACAGACTCGAGGATTTAATAGGACTGAGAAGCACAGATCAGTTTGCTTCACTGGAATGCAAACTTTGCAGTCGAGTTTCCAATATTCCTCATATCACAGCATGCAGCTGAAGTGTGCTCAATTGGAGACAATTTGGCATTATAATGATGAAATAAGCTTGCGTTTGCAATGCATAACATGGAATTCTGATTATTTTTCTGAATGAGATTTTAAAAGGGTCATATCATACTTTTTATTGAGGTCCACTCAATATTTTAGCTTCTCATTTGAACTGTTTTTCAACCACTTCCTGATCTTTAGATGCGAAATACCTCTAAAAAACACAAACCCTGTGCTTTGTGCAGCTTGTGCACAAGATTTGGGTTAGCTGTCAGGTCCAGTGTTCATTTATCTGTCTGACTTTTGTAATGGCATATTCTTCGTGAGTTTCCGATCACACAGTGGACATCACTGATGTGTGAATAATGTATTCATCTGTCTGTTATAAGAAATTTGCGGATGTTTAGTCTGAATAAATATTCTTTTTGGACTGGGAAGCAAGTTTTGATTTCTAAAATCAAAAAGTATGTTAAAAGTATGTTTATTTCCAAATGTATTTGTCGGCCGAATCCCTTTGAACTAAAATATTTACTTTAAAAGGTACATTCCTGAGATTTTAAATTAATATTTTAATAATTACAACAATATTAACAACACAGTTGTATGTTCACGGTTCTCTGATGTTGGTCACATGACATGCAGCTAAACAAATACAAACTAAACAGTGCTTTGAATTATTTTAATTGAACAAAAATAGATGACTTCTATAGGAGCAAATCATATTTTAATACACCGTTTTGGTCATGCAACCTTTTTCAAAAGTTATTCAGGATTCCTCTGCTTTTTGTTAAGACTCTTACTTTACTTTATTCCTGCACTCCTGCTTATATGACTTACTAGGAGCTGCGGTGGTATTTTTAATGTTATTTTATTTTAAAATAATTTGTTTTGATTTAGAAATGATTTATTTATTAATTATTAGCTTCTTGTGAATGCCAGATAAGGAAACCCTAATATAGTACATCTAAAAGATGAAGCAAAATGTGATTCTTCATAATATGGCCCTTTTAAACAACACCGATGGATGCATTTCTAAAGAAATTAAGACACGGCTGTTGCAGTGATTGACATCCAGCAGAATCTGCATTAGCATTTGTTTTTAATCAATGTGATCTGCGGTGTTCTTAAAGACTGATTCTGTGCTGATCATGACGTCTCACCTCTTTTAGTATTTTACATGTCTGTGGTTCTCACTCGCCCTCCTGTTTGTCTTAACATTTTGACGGTATCCTGTGGATTTTGCTGGCAGCAGGATGTTGGACTCGCTCTGTGAAGTTTGAGTTACTTTCTTGGCATTTTTGGATGATGCCAAATGCTTAGTGTTCAAATGTCTTGTAAAAAAACAACAGCAACACATTTTTGGGACAGACACACATTATGCTTGTTTTTCTTAGTTATTGTATCAGTGAATTTAATTGTCATTCTGCTTTGAAATCTTTGTTTAAGCTGCTAAATGTCATTTTTTTAACTGCTTATTTTGTGCATAATTTTTGTGTTCAATTGATTGACGATTTGACACGTTTTCCTCAATAAAAAATACAAAAAGAAATGTCCTTTATGTTGCATTTAACTGTATATTGTAAATTCTCTCAAGACTTTTTCATTATGTTCATGTATTCAGGTTTCGTTTTACTCTCCTTTGTTTAATATGCAAATCTAACTGTTTAATTATGTCAGAAAATGTGAACACCTCTCTGCTTTTATAGCTAGTTTGCAGCATATATTTGAGTTAAATCAAAGAGCCAAGAAAGCTTTATCTGCTGTATAAATGTGTAGGATTCGCATGAACCAAAAAGAGGCAGTTTTGTTCCACAGATCAACCAAAACGGCCTTTAAAAAGGTACTTTATTGTGTAATTGTTTTATATATACTTTTCATGTGATTTCTGCACCACTTTCAGCATCGAATGAAAAAAGAGATATGATAAAGAGAAATATGATTTCTGAAGTAATTTAAAATAAAAAATAAAAAATCATATGTACTTTGAATTTGAATTTGGGACACAACAAGATTTTACAGAATAACTGATGTAACTACTGGTGTAGCTACTGTATACAGAACTATATGACATAATTTTTTAAAAAGTACATGAAAAATTTTCATGATATCACCTAAAAGGAAATATAATTTTAGAGGCGGAGCAGAATGAAACAGGAACTTAAAAATAAAATAAAATAAATATACCAAAAAATACAGAGCAAACATTTTTCATGATATCAGCTAAAAAGAAACCGATCTAATTAGTACATGCACCAATAGGGACAATCTTAATGTTATATTAAACTCCAGCACCAGATTTCTTCCAGGGATCTTAAAGGGATAGTTCACCCAAAAATGAAAATGTGATGTTTATCTGTGGATGCCGTGCACCCGCTCAAAGCAGTTGGACATAGTGGTGTATTAGAGGTCAAATATGATATAAATACTGTTCGGTTTCTGGCACAAACCGATTGTTTCGTGTCTTAGGACATCAATGTGTCGTCACGAGCCGCAGGGTTTAATTTGGATTTGTCTGTGCATGTTTTTTTTACTCTCATAGATTTTGTTACCATTGCCATGCATTATACGACTGATAGACTGCAACGGTTTGTGTTAAAAATCATAATTTGTGTTCTACTGAAGAAACAAAGTCACCTACATCTTGGATGCCCTTGGGGTAAGCAGATAAATATAAAATTTACATTTTTGGGTTAACTATCCCTTTAAGACGATGTATTATATATTACTACTGGATACTTATCAGCATTTTAACGTCATGGGCAGAATGAAACATAGGGACTTACAACCCGTAATGAAGAAAGCCAGCAAGAATAACTGCAGTTCTCAGAGTGTGCTTATGGCTGAATTATACATTTTGAACACAAACCGCAAACAGGTCAATCGAAAAGGTCATTTGGGGTGAACTGCGTCAGAACGGCCACAGTAACTCTGTGATTTCCTCTGGTTTTACAGGAGCTCAAGCTTCGACAGCAGCTGCACTCAGTGAGCAATAAACATATTTGTGTGTGTGTGTGAGATGACATTTGTGTAAAGCCACTGGACATGGATATGACATCAGCTGTCACCCGGGGCAACCAGACCTTTAGACGGGTCAACCTTTAGTGCCCGCTAAGAATAGAGCCGCTATCGCTGTGTGTTTCTGCTTGATTGATGCGCGGTGAGCAATGATTTTGTCAAATGTGACGTCACAGCTCTTGTGTTATGTACTGGCCAGTGGACTTTGAACTCAGTGTTGATGTGTGCCAATGGAAACACTAGCTCTGTTACATACATAGGCAGCTACCTTCTAAGACAACATCCTAACCGTCATGGAATCTCATAAATTACAGATGGTCACATCATATATACAGAAACGCTGGTCACTCATACATCACTGACTCGGAAGCAAACATTTGACTCACTAGTTGAGTACCAAATGATGCACTGTACATTATGTACTTATGCACTATGTACTCAACTGTGCAGTGTAGTATGAAAGGTCATTTTGTCATTCACAATCAGAGTCTGACAGCCCCTCCCCCTCTGCAACATAATTAAAGCGTGCATGAAGTGTCCGACATTCCACACTGTTGTTTTTTTGGTTATTTACGTGTGTCATCCAGGTAGCTTATTTACACTGCTCTTTTTCTTTTTGGAACACTGTACTACAAAACGCCATAGAATATGGCATAAGTATGCAATTTGGGATGCACCTACTGATTCTACTAATTTAACATTAGCATGTTGCTAAGCCAACAGCAAAATGCTGTAAAAAGTATAGAAAAGCATATACATTAGGCCATAGCTGAGGCTGATGTGATACACATCTCGATGCATAGCCAACGATGCGATACATTAAAGATACATATGAAGCAGCTACTGATGCAATGCGATACGATTCACCGCTATTACGATGCAGTGTGATCCGATTTTGATTTGATTCAACACAATATGATTCAATGCAATACGATGCAATGGGGAAAAAAATATGATGCTCTGCAATTCTGTTTGGTACAGATAGTTGGCTTTTATTTCTTTGGTTCACTTCAGACAGAAAGCCATGTTAATCTATATGTGACTCTCAGGACACGCTTAGGGCGCTTGAGGAACAGTTTAGAGGAGAAATCATTCTACTATCTTTCTAAACAATAAAAGTATAGCACATCTACTAATAATTATATATAAATAAATCAGCTTTTACCGATGCTAATATGTTAGAAAAAATGCATTGCGATACAAATGCCAACTTGTATCCGATGCACACTTTTTTCAAATTGATGCATAGCATCATGAACTTTTATACACTGATGCGAATCGGTGAATCTGACCATCCCTAATATACATTCAAATTGACCATTTAAAAAAAAAATAAATTTGTGTTAATATTTTGATTCGTTTCATTTTGTTTTATTTAAAGTTTTAGTCATTTTCATCATAATTTTAATGATTTTTATTTCAGTTTTATTTATTTTAATATATTAATATATTTAATAAGTTAAACTACATAAAAAAGAAACATGTTGGCAGTATGTTTAAATAAAAACATTTTATTTCCATTTTTATTTTAATCAAAGTTTTAATGATTTTGTTTTGTCTTTGTTATTTTTATTCATTTTTAATTGTCTATCTATCTATCTATCTATCTATCTATCTATCTATCTATCTATCTATCTATCTATCTATCTATCTATCTATCTATCTATCTATCTATCTATCTATCTATCTATCTATCTATCTATCTATCTATCTATCTATCTATCTATCTATCTATCTATCGATTTTTATTTCAGTTTTAGATTGTAATTTTAGTGCATCAATTTAAACTAAATAAAAAAGAAATGTTCCCAGTTGCCAGAAATAAAATACATGTAATGTTTATTTTAAATGATTGTGTTTCAGTTAACATTTATTTTATTTCAAGTAACAATTTTTTAATAATTTTAGTTTCAAATGAATCTGAAGACTCCCTCTTCTATCCAAGATCATTTTTTTCCCAGTTTTTTTCCAGTTAGTTTTTTGCAAGACATTCAGGGATGGACTTGTGTGTGGAGGATACATGCAATTCTGCCTTTAAATTTGGCCAAAATGCCTTATCTTCATCGTTTTGATCAGTCTTCACATCAAAGAGCGCCTGACGCAGTTTGGATGCTCTCTAGGTAGCTGAGGTTTGGATCAGAGCTGCAGACTTCTGATCTTCTTTACGATCCTGAGCAGCCACAGGAGAGAACATGTGAAATCACGAGCCATTTGTTGAGTTTATTTTTTAAATCAGAGCCCAGCAGAAACTCTGGCAGTCTTGGAGTGATGTGAGTTATTTCTCTGTTCTTGACTGGTAGGTATAGTATAGTGAGTACTGTCAGAGTCGTCAAAGACGTTCCCTCCGTCGCCTAATGCGTTTTCCAACCGTGGACTGGAGAGCCGCCGGCTATTCCATGGGACCTTTTTCCTTTCGTTTCCGTGAGGCATTTTTTCCAGATGAAGAGATTTATGGAATTGGAGAAATGCTGAAGGAAAGTGACACTGTTTCCCTGAGCAAAGCCCTCGTTCCAGTGTTCCTGCCGAGGAATTACCTCCAAATCCAACAACTCACGGCCTGCTGCCGACTGCTGACGCCACACCAATTCACCATCAGCCTCGTCAAAACAAACTCACTTCTTAAAGCACACCCTTACAGTAATATACACATATATACATACAAATACACAGATATGTAAAAGTTTATAGGGTCAGTGAGATTTTTAAAGTTTGAAAAAAAGTCTCTTCTGCTGCATTTATTTGATTAAAAAATACAGTAAAAACTGTAATATTGTGAAATATTATTACAATTTAAAATAACTATTTTCTATCTGAATATACTGTAAAATTTAATTTATTCCTGTGATCAAAGCTGAATTTTCAGCATCATTACTCCAGTCTTTAGTGTCATATGATCCTTCAGAAATCATTCTAATATACTGATTTTCTGCTCAAGATACATTTCAGGTTATTAACAATGTTGAAAACAGTGTACACTTCATTCTAAGGTCCAGTTCTCACTATTAACGTAACTTAACGTTTGCCTTAATAAACTCCTAATTACTGCTTATTAATAGTGAGTAAGGTTTAGGTCTGGGGTTGGATTAAGAATGTAGAATATGTTCATGCAGAATAAGGCATGAATATGTGCTTTATAAGTACTAATAAACAGCCAATATGCTAGTAACGTGCATGCTAATAAGCAGCTAGTTAATAGTGAGAACCTGTTCCTAAACTAAAGTGTTACCAAAAACAGTTGTGCTGCTTCATATTTTTGTGGAAACCATGAGGCATTTGATTTTTTCAGGATTCTTTGATGAATGCAAAGAATAAATTGAAATGTTTATTAGAAACAGAAAGTTATTTGAGGTCTTTACTGTCACTTTTGATGAAAGTAGTGCATCCTTGCTGAATAAAAGGATTAATTTATTTCAAAACAAAACAAAACATTTTACTGACCCAAAACTTTTGAGCAGTATATAGAATTGATAATGAAAGTCTGGACC